GCCGTGTTTGCTCCACAGGCACACACACCATGGCATATCGCTTATGCCAGTTCTTATCCCAGCCGACAAAGGATCCTCCCAGTTGCTTTGAGAGCCGCACTAAAGACTTATGGCATTAGGGCACAGCAGCAGAGCAAAGGCAACCGCAACAACTTAGCGCATGTCAGCAGCACATTACACGGAGCCCAGAGCCGCAAACTCGAACACATGGTTGCGAATGGAAGAAGGGGGTTATGTATGGCAAACATAATTTTAAAGCAATTAGATATCTTACTAATAAGAACTTTAATCAATTTAATTTGTAACAATCGCTCTGTTTTAAGCATAATCTTCTTCAACTTAAGAACTCGCCTTTGGTTTTCCCAAAAGCCATTAGAAAATTGAACTGGTCCAAAGCCTCAAGGTAACGTGGCTCTCAAGCAAGTTGGACAAAAGTTAATCCCCCTTGAGGAGCAAAGCTACGCCACTGACCGAAGAACATCTTGCAACACACATACTGTTGATTTTCAGGCAGCAATTGCTATTGCTGTAATTGTTATGAGTAAAAATGGGAGAGGGGGGAGGGGAAGTTTTCTGAAACTCCGAGGTTAAAAAGTAATATATTTTACAACAACAATGGCAGGAGGCGAGACTACATATTATATTTATATGCCACACACACAAAACACACAGGGAAAACAACAATGGCTGATGTTAAAAGCAGAAATTCGCATTAAGCTGAAAGAAAAGCAAAAGCCGGACAGGGAAAATTGGGTAGGGGGGTGTGGGGAAAGCTCAGGGGTTGTCTCAACAACCAGGGAAAGCCACAAGTAAACGAGCCAAGAAAACAGCTTGTTTTAAGTGTAACTCACACCCACGCACACACGGACATACATTAGTTGCATTCTGCCGAGGAAAAACATTTTCCCGCCCCACACCGCTTTCATCTTGTCGGCGTTGTAGCATGAAATCTGTTTTAAAAACTCCAGACATCACACACAATGCCCGAAATGCCATAATTCTTGTCTACGCACAACAGTCTGCCACACTTTATACGAAATAAATAATTACAAACAAGTCAAGCAGACACTGCCAGAAAATGATGCCAGTGTTGGATGTTGCATGGCTGGAAAATGTTGGGGGGAAAAAGGAAAAGGAAAAATGGAAGTGGGCAGAGGAACAGAAGGGGAAAGCACCCTCGAAGTGCTGGAGGGGAAGTTGCAACCAGTTTTCAACACCCTTCTGTTGATTATGACCTCTGAAAACTGTAAGTACATTAAATGGAAACTAAACAGGACGCACTCAAAAAAAATATATGTATATTTACATGACTTTTTTATAAAATATAATACTACATGAAAGGGAATCACAAATCCTCCTTACATTTTTCCTTAGAATATTATTGAAAATAGTTTTTCTTAGAAATAAATGGTAGTTGATGTCTCATAAAATATTTAGGTGCTAACTAACACCTCGAGAATTTTAATTTGGTTATCCAAGAAACTCCAACTTTTTCATATTCCCTTGAACTGTAGTGACATTTGTGTTTATGAAGACGACGCGTCGTCGACCTCAAACAAAGTCCAACTTAACGTACGCAAAAAAGGAAAAACCACAGCCACAAAAACTAAAAAACAATGCAAAAAAACCTACACTGTAAAGTGAAAAAAGTTTCATTTTTTACGAGTGTGTGTAAAGTTTTTGTTGTTTGCTTTGGGTTTGTTTGGGTTGCATTTGGCCAGACTTGACTTTTGCTTCGGCATCTTTTTGCCAAATGAACTCTGCCTTCCTTTTTCCCCTTTTATACATTGAACGAAAATGTTTAAGAAATAAAATTTATAGAAATTTCAAAAGCGAAAGACTTTAGCAAATACTCCACTAGGATAAGCAGTTTAAATAAGATGTAAGGGATAGCTTATATTTACTTGATTGCATTAAAAGTAACTCTTCAAAAGGAATATAAATATTTTTATTCCGATGCTGCGTGTTTTTTATAATATAATCAACTTGAATATGACCTTTTTCCATTTGGTTAGCGTGTAGTGCACTTGCATTTATGAATGTTTAAGCACTTCGAGTCGGTCTGAACTCAACTGAACTGAGTGGAGATAAAGTTTTCAGTCCCCAGTTCTCCAGCGAACAATTGAAAAATTCATAAAGCCAGCAGGAAGAGCGAGACGATGGAAAACTTTGCCGAAACTCTAATGATGGCTAATTATTACAAAATACACACACTCATATGGGCCGGAATAAGTTTTCCGCTGTGAGTGAAAACTTTCGTATGCAAATAAAGTTAATTTACATTTTAAAATCCATCATATTGCAAAAGCTTGTATAAATAATTGCAAATATACATTGCTGCCTTGAGGCCCAAAACGGAGGGACGGAGAGCCCCGGAAAAACTTCCACATATTTTGTAGTGAATTTTTCCTCGAGCTGTGTCGAAAAAAGTGTTTTTCTTTCGACTTGCTCATGGTAATTTTGCCCACCTCTCCCGGTCTCAGTTTGGAAATCAACTTATATAGGGAAACGAAATCTATATGCATATGCATTTCATGTTTTTGTATGCACAAACGGCGGAGGGCGTGGTCATGGCAATTGAAGCCCCTTGAGGGCTAAGCTCAGCGCTCATTGATAATTATTTGCATGGAAAAATGTAAATCGGTAGCCAAAGCAAACGTTAAACATGTCATGTCCCAGTCAGATTTTCTCTTGAGTTTGCTGGATCCCCGAAATATCCCGACCAATCGAAGGATGTTTTCCCCGTAACTTATTTTGTAACCGGTTTGTAAATCAAATAATTGAAAATATTTCGTAGCTATTGTTCTTAAGTTTTTAAATTATAGAGTTCATTAATTGGAATTAATTTAGGCAACATTAAAAACTGTTGAATTTAATAATCCTTCGGTAAACAATAAGCTTTTAAATAAAAATATTCCATTAACTATGCTTTAAAGTAAACAAAACATAAGAGGCTTTAAATACAATCCACACACATTGCAATTACATTATCCCCACATAAATATAAAAAGTTGAATTCAATATACGCTCTTAAGCTTTAGCAAACATATCAGAATGGTATTTTGTGAAAAATACCAACTTAAAGCAAACAAATGTCAGCAAACTTGTTTTTTCGAAACTTTGCACTTTTTGTGTGTTGCCAACTGTTAATTACAATAACAGTAGGAGGAGAGTGGGAACCAAAGTTTCTACATGATCGAACTAAAAAGAGAAAAGCGCAAGAAATCAGAAATTCAGCAGATGGCGAAAAAATAGCGAACATTTGAGCGATGGAAGCGATGCAGGAAGTCCTATATGCAGCCGCAGTGCATTGTGTTGTTTGTATTCTGGACTATGCGCTTTATATACCAAAAATCCCAACACAATAAAGCTGTTGCTTCGTTTAATATATGGCTTTATAGGAAAAACCAGCGTAACAATAGACGGCTCCGTGAAAATGGTACCCAAACTTACATCTGTGGATGGGCAGACTGCTCAAAAAACAGATTCGCTCCAACAAAATACATGAAAATTGAGCGGAGTGGAAACCGGAGGAGGGCGGAGAGTATAAAATAAAAAGCAGGAACACACAAAAACTAAAATTCAGGCAGACAAATTAAAACTAAGCGCTGCATGTGCAAACAACTGCCCCAACCCCTGCATTTCCCAGCGCCACCCCCATTTTCCACCCAGCACTCGACCCAATGGCGTCCACTCGACCATTTGCTCCATTTAGCTGAATACACACTCGAAAAAAGAGGGGAAAACATCCCAAACTAAACTGCGTGCTTAGTTTTATTTGACCGGTGCTGTAAAACTGTAAAACGACCACAAGTAAAAGCTTCAAAGTTTCATTTCCCGCACATCAAAAACATAAAAAGAAACGAACAAGGAAATGCAGCCAGCGGAATTTGATTGGAATTGTTTCCGGAAAACTTATTTTGCTGATTTTTCAGCAGTAATTATGTATAAATTGCTGTTAACTGGTGAAAAACACGGAAGTTCTTATGGTCAAATTAAATTTTATGCCCACTAAAAAGTCTTCGGACGCAATCCGGAAAATTATTTGGCTCTGCATGCCAGCAATAAATTTTGTTTCGATTATTTCCGCTTAATTTGGATCTCTGGGAGTTTTTACTTAAATTCGGGCTAAGATAAAAAAGCATGAAAGCTTAATGGCATGGAAGCAAATTTAAATAAAAATTATGCATGAATGGACAATCCGAAAAAATTAAAAATATATGTAACTATTTATACGACTGCTTCTTAACTGCTGTTAAGTCTTTTTCAATAGATTTCAGTGGCTTACAATTCACAAAAATTACCTAATACCTTAGGCATTTCAAAACCGAATTAATAAAATAGAAAATTCAAAGCCAGCTTTACGGGTAAATAATCCCCAATTTGTGTGGAAATTCTTTTCGGGAACACAACCAATTTGGATGCAGTTGTTCCGCTCCCCGGCCATTGTGTTTCGGTTAGCGTGGCATGTGAATTATTCATTTTTGTGGTATAGATTTACAATTTCCACGAGTCTCTACAGCACCACGCTTTTTTATTTTTTTAATAGTTGATTCTTTATTCTTTATTTTTGGTCCATGTACAATTGCTGCTGCTCCGCTGATGGTATTGATTTTCGTTTTTGCTCCGCTGCGTACATAACAGTGAAAAAATAAATCAAATCAGTTTAGCGACGAGGATATATCAATGTTGTTATATGATTTTGTGCTGGATTTCGACCGCTTCGCTCTTAATTAAATGTCCGCGGCTAAAAATTGCACGGGGTAATTGAATTGTCGCTGCCATTTGTCCGGAAACAAATGTTCGATTCGTGAACTGTGATCAGTTTTCAAGATTTGTAATATAAATATATCCACTGTTTTTTTGGCATAAGAGGGTTTTCAAAACGCGGCTGCAATCAAAACACTTTTTTAATCCCGTAATTTTAATCATTTATTTTGCGACTGAATCTTATCCGTTATTTTCGCTGGTGTAATCGAATCCGTGCTCTGTCATTCCAGGTCACCTTTGGCTCTCGATTGGCCTGATCTCCGGGGACGACTCGCTGGACACGCGTGAGGGCGTCGATCTGGTGCTCAAGTGCCGCTTCACCGAGCATTACGACTCGACCGACTTCACCTTCTACTGGGCCCGCTGGACCTGCTGCCCCACATTGTTCGAGAACGTGGCCATCGGCGATGTGCAGCTCAACTCGAATTATCGGTAAGTTTGTGCAATGGGCCGATAAATCACAGAAGGCCCGGCCTCATAAATTCCGCGCTGATGGCTGATGCCTGATGGCTGATGGCTGTCAATGCGCTGGCAGCCGGCGAACGTCAAGGGTTAAGGACATTTATTTAATTGCCAGCGAGGGCAGGATTGTTTTCCCCCGCGATAAAAGATGAAGGATGCGCCACCCAAGTCGTGCGTTCGACTGTTAAATTTATTAAAATTGCCATCGACAACGTCATCGATGCCATTGTACATCATTAAATGTTCATCTGGCTGGCGATAACTCATTACCAACAAGTTGATGGCTTCCCTTTCGGCCCTCGCATATCCTTTTTCACCCATCTGGCGCAGCTGTTGGTCCATCATTTTGGGCTGGCTGGCTGGCGGAAATGTAGCAGCACAATGGCCGAAAGGGAAATACAAGTCTGGGGACCAAAAGTGATTGCCAAAGTTGGTAACTTTTCTAATGAGGAAGTCGGATAATCGTTGAATAATTGGGGAAACACGAGAACTTCTATTGATTATTCTTTTGGACGAGGAAAAAATTCGAGGGAACCGACTATGCATAGAAAAAAGCTTAGGGTGTATTGCAATATTCAAATCAATAACTAGCAATACCCCAAAAATTATAATATTTTGTCGTTATCAACCATAAATTGAAGTTGAACTTGAAGTGTGAACTCCTTCCACAATTTCAGTCTTTGTACCTAAGTATTGGCAACACATGGCGTATACGCAACTTAATTTCAAACGCTTAGGTTATGAAATTTCCTTTGAAATTGCAAAACAAAAAGAGAAAAGGGAAAAGTAGAGACGTCAGCGGGAACTTTTCAAACTGTTTGTATAAAATGCGTTGAATACTGCTGCTGCCGAGAGCTGCCAGCATATTTATTTATTAATCATAATAATCATTTTGCACAGCATTTTGAGCGTGAATAAACAACAACAAAAAGCGGCAGAGAACAGAACAAAAATAATAACAAAGGAGGGGCGAGTGGGGAAAAACATTCAATGCGGCGTATGCTGCAAATCGCTTGGAAAATTTCAACAGGCCATTCAAAATACATGCCAGACAAACAGCCCACTGCAAGGTGAAGGGGCAGAGGCGGAGGCGGATTTGGGGGCGTGGCAATGAGGCAGAGACCACCAGACGACAAGCATAATAAATAAATGATCCAGCAGATACATGTACTGCATGTTTCCGCTAAGTAGCAGCCGCCACAGAAACATGCAAATGCCAGAAACGTGTAAGCAGCAGAATGGAGAGGCGAAAAATAAAATAAGAATTATTATAACACAATTTTGCTAATCGCGCGTTAAACAATTTGTTTGATTTATGTGCCCTGGGTTCAGACTAATGATGCAAAACGGGAAGAGGCGCACATGTATCTGAGGAATGGGTGATTTGGCGAAACAAGAAGAGGCGAGAGTGATGTGCCATCTGTTCTGGTGAATCAGAATGTAAAGCATATATCACAGGAAAGCGTGGTAGAAGAATCTGTACTTATTACCAACATCTAGACTGCATAAAAGTTGAAACTCTTTAAGTGATATCCCCCACTTCACGAAGAAGTCGCTCTGAACTGCCCATTAGGGCACATTCTCGCTCAAAAGAAACTGCACGGGCTTCCAGCTCAAGTTCTAGTTGTTAAAAGGCCAACAGACTCTCTCCTCTTTTTATTCTGAACAGCCATACATTTAGTCATTGACAGGAGGCGGTGCACAAAAGGCAATTGTGATCCCTAAAAGGCGTGACCGACAGGAGCAAAAATCCTTACAATTTTTTATGCTCACAGCTTGCACTCGAAATGAATGGGGGAAAATAGTGAAAAAGAAGGGTTTGCCTGTTTTGCATTGACATCGAAACAAAGGGCTAATTGGGATGTTAGACAAAAGGCGCTGCAACTCTGGCCGATTTTTTCCAAGGCTTTCGCCCTGTATGGAAAACAAAAGTAAAACGACTGTTAGCTGGGCCAAAAGTTTCCCGACAGCAGCCGAAAAGATAAATTGTTTTTTAAATGAATTCAATAAAGCGTGCCATAACAAAATTCAAAACACACAAATACGAAATACGAAACACGGAACACAAAAGGCAGCCGACTTTCGGGAGATTTGAACATAAAACGCCTATACAGTCGGCATGGCTTATTTGCATTTCAATTTGCATAAGTGAAGAGTTTCCACGTACATATATATCCGTACATATTTCCATATCTGCGATAGATGTCGCATCGGGTTGGAAACAACACACGTGTTGCCGTTTCCAGGCCCCAAAAAGTCAGCATTTGATCTGCGTATTTTGATGTATGTCTGCCGCCAAGGTAAAGGTTAAACGTTGACCCGCATAAAAAGGCAAACATCCCGACGAAGCTGGCCAACTCAGGACCATCCATTGATAACAACAAGCCACGTTTGCATAAATAGCTGAAATTATTGCCGCACATCCATCACCCAAATGCGAAATGTGTCAGCTGAGTCGCAGCCCACATTAATATATACAAACAAATAGCAACACGAGTTATCGGGGATCAACGAATATATATAATGCTCTGCACTGCGTACAAAAATGATTAATTAAAAAATAAATAATATTTTCAGCTGGAGTCCAATTGAATTTTGTTGAGCTGGGTTGGTTTTTTGCACTAATTTGAAAAATACATTTTTATAAGCTCACTGACATACAATATTACAACCATATTTGTTTCCAAAGACCAGAAATATTTTGTATACGTTTTGTCTACACAAGTTGATAAAAACGAATTGGAAAATAATAATATCCCCCGCTTTATTTTAAATTTAAAACAACTACTGAACACAATGACAGCCCACGCCAATCAGCTCTTAAAATCGATACCAAAATACAAAAGAAAAATGGTAAGCCATTTTAGCCTTTCTTTTCCGGTTTCCCCAAGGGAGCTTCGAAATTTTTGCGAAGGCACAGTAACCACAACAAAGAATCATGGGCTGTAGCAAATCAAAATTAAAAATCGATAGCCAGCATGAGTTTCATATTAAATTTCTTTTAACACAATTGAAAAATGCCTTCTACTGATGCTCCGGATACTTCCGTTTTTTTTTTTCTCTCTTCCCACGAGCTCGACTTTTATTTTTGTTTTCTGCGCTGTGTATTTTGCTATCTGTTCAGTGAAAAGCAAATTTTTTGATTGTTTTGCACGCTCCACCAGCGAAATGTTTGCGGCACTTAAACAACAAGAGGCGAGCACCACGCAAAATTCCAATATCATTCAACAAACACGCAGCAGCGCAAATAAAATGCGGGTTTGGGCAACATCGAGGTTGTTAAGGTCATCAAAATGACAATTTTCGGGCGGGGGAACCGCAAAGATAAGAGCAATGTATCGGCCGATGGTCAGGGAATCGGAACCAACGAACCAATCCCAACTCAATCCATCCATCACTCGCCGCAGTTCCTGCGTGATGAAGCAGGGCAATTGTGAAACTTGATTGATTCTCAAAACTTATTGGAAATTATCTGGCCAAATTGGTGTCCATTTTTTGACTCCTGTTCATGCCAGATTTTTATAGGTTTCCGTGAATTGAAAAAGGAGACCCAAGTCAGCACTTCAAGGAGTCATAACTAGGACAATTTTTATCCGATCACATAGTGACATACCTCTAAACCTTTAGAAGTCCTAAATAAACAGCGCTTTTATCATAATAATGGTACAGAGTTACAATTATTGCTGAAAAATGTTTATTTACAAGTTAAAATTAATGGTATTTCCCTCGCACCCTGACGAATCAATATATACTTTGTCGAATCTACCAAAAACCAAATAGAACAACCCACAATTAATCTGAACGCCAAATGCGGTTTGCAGCCGTCAAGAGCTGTCCAAAAACTGACCCAATTTCAACCGACTCGATTTCGATGTATCAAAAACCCCTTTCAACAATGGCATTTAACGATTGCCACTTTGCGCGGCGCATTAAATGACTTTACGACCTAGGACACAGATTTTCCAGATTTGCCCAATGGAATGCACAAACCCCAAAAGAGGCTTAGTGCGCCCCCCCCAAAACCACGCCCCTGGCCATCCTGGGGCTGTTTTGGTCCACCCAACTCGACACATTTGCACATTTGCCGGCAATGCTCTGTTGTTTTGTTGTCCTGGTGCTCGTGGCGTTGCGTAAATTAATTTCAGTCGCTAAGCGTAATTTAAAGTTAGCTTAAGCCAGCAGACATATACATAACCACACAGTGTCGTGCACTGGGAGAAAAATTTGCTTGCAATGAGTTTTTGCCACTCAAAGAAGGAGAATGCAGTTCCCCGCATCAAATGGATTTACAATTATCATCCCAAGCTTAATTTAATGGTTTGTTCTTAACTCTTAGTATATGGTAGTTTATATACTCCCCTTTTTTTCCAGTGCACACACACTTTTGCAACATAAACAAGACTCACAACAAACGGTCTTGAACTCGCCGCTGCTCCATGCAAATACGCACATGCGGTGGGCGGTTGGCCAAGGGAAAAGTCAGGAAAGCGGTGGAAGGGGAAGGGAGGGAGGAAAACTGCGGAAAACAGGGAAAATGCGAAGGAGGGTCTGCGGAACAGAAGGTGTCCGACCACCCGCCGGCCATGTGGAGTTCATAAAGCTGCGGGGCAAACTGAAACCGAAAAGCGAACACCGAAAGCGGAGCGGGAGAGCCGCCGCCGGAAGTTGTCCGCCGTACGAAGTGCGACTTGTCAACGTGTACTTCCGGCCGCCATTCTTCGCCGCAGAAGCCGCAGAAATGTTGCGGGAGGTGGCGGAAAACTCGGGAGCCGTGGCCATGACACACAGGAAGCCGGTGGCCGCTCCTCCCTTCCGTCTGAGTCGCCAAACTTTATGAATAATTCAGTTTAAATGCTTTTTTTATTGTTGCCCATGTTGTCATTTGCTAGCTTACACTTGGCTGGCTCCGGCTTAAAGACCCTCAAGAGCGGCTTATTAAATTTGAATACGCAAAATTATGAAACTTGTCT